AAAAGTGATCACAAATTATAGCTAAAAACCCCGAAATGTCAATATTTAAGGAGTTATGGCCATCTTAAAGTAAGCTATTTTCCCCTTTACCAAACGGATCACAAATTATAGCTAAAAACCCCGAAATGTCAATATTTAAGGAGTTATGGCCATTTTGAAGTAAGCTATTTTTCCCCTTTAAAAAAGTGATCACAAATTATAGCTAAAAACCCCGAAATGTCAATATTTAAGGAGTTATGGCCATTTTAAAGTAAGCTATTTTTCCCCTTTCAAAAAGTGATCACAAATTATAGCTAAAAACCCCGAAATGTCACTATTTAAGGAGTTATGGCCATTTTAAAGTATGCTATTCTTCCCCTTTAAAAAAGTGATCACAAATTATAGCTAAAAACCCCGAAATGTCAATATTTAAGGAGTTATGGCCATTTTGAAGTAAGCTATTTCTCCCCTTTCAAAAAGTGATCACAAATTATAGTTAAAAACCCCGAAATGTCAATATTTAATGAGTTATGGCCATTTTAAAGTAAGCTATTCTTCCCCTTTCAAAAAGTGATCACAAATTATAGCTAAAAACCCCGAAATGTCAATATTTAAGGAGTTATGGCCATTTTGAAGTAAGCTATTCTTCCCCTTTAAAAAAGTGATCACAAATTATAGCTAAAAACCCCGAAATGTCACTATTTAAGGAGTTATGGCCATTTTAAAGTATGCTATTCTTCCCCTTTAAAAAAGTGATCACAAATTATACCTAAAAACCCCGAAATGTCAATATTTAAGGAGTTATGGCCATTTTAAAGTATGTTATTTTTCCCCTTTAAAAAAGTGATAACAAATTATAGCTAAAAACCCCGAAATGTCAATATTTAAGGAGTTATGACCATTTTAAAGTATGCTATCTTTCCCCTTTAAAAAAGTGATCACAAATTATAACTAAAAACTTCGAAATGTCAATATTCAAGGAGTTATGGCCATTTTAAAGTATGATATTTTTTGCCCCATTAAAAAAGTGATCACAAATTATAGCTAAAAACCCCGAAATGTCAATATTTAATGAGTTATGGCCATTTTAAAGTAAGCTATTTTTCCCCTTTCAAAAAGTGATCACAAATTATAGCTAAAAACCCCGAAATGTCAATATTTAAGGAGTTATGGCCATTTTGAAGTAAGCTATTCTTCCCCTTTAAAAAAGTGATCACAAATTATAGCTAAAAACCCCGAAATGTCACTATTTAAGGAGTTATGGCCATTTTAAAGTATGCTATTCTTCCCCTTTAAAAAAGTGATCACAAATTATACCTAAAAACCCCGAAATGTCAATATTTAAGGAGTTATGGCCATTTTAAAGTATGTTATTTTTCCCCTTTAAAAAAGTGATAACAAATTATAGCTAAAAACCCCGAAATGTCAATATTTAAGGAGTTATGACCATTTTAAAGTATGCTATCTTTCCCCTTTAAAAAAGTGATCACAAATTATAACTAAAAACTTCGAAATGTCAATATTCAAGGAGTTATGGCCATTTTAAAGTATGATATTTTTTGCCCCATTAAAAAAGTGATCACAAATTATAGCTAAAAACCCCGAAATGTCAATATTTAATGAGTTATGGCCATTTTAAAGTAAGCTATTTTTCCCCTTTCAAAAAGTGATCACAAATTATAGCTAAAAACCCCGAAATGTCAATATTTAAGGAGTTATGGCCATTTTAAAGTATACTATTTTTCCCCTTTACCAAACGGATCACAAATTATAGCTAAAAACCCCGAAATGTCAATATTTAAGGAGTTATGGCCATTTTAAAGTATGCTATCTTTCCCCTTTAAAAAAGTGATAACAAATTATAGCTAAAAACCCGGAAATGTCAATATTCAAGGAGTTATGGCCATTTTAAAGTATGCTATTTTTCCCCTTTAAAAAAGTGATCACAAATTATAGCTAAAAACCCCGAAATGTCAATATTTAAGGAGTTATGGCCATTTTAAAGTATTCTATTTTCCCTTTTAAAAAAGTGATCACAAATTATAGCTAAAAACCCCGAAATGTCAATATTTAAGGAGTTATGGCCATTTTAAAGTATGCTATTTTCCCTTTTAAAAAGTGATCACAAATTATAGCTAAAAACCCTGAAATGTCAATATTTAAGGAGTTATGGCCATTTTAAAGTATGCTATTTTTCTCCTTTAAAAAAGTGATCACAAATTATAGCTAAAAGCCCCGAAATGTCAATATTTAAGGAGTTATGGGCATTTTAAAGTATGCTATTTTTCTCCTTTAAAAAAGTGATCACAAATTATAGCTAAAAGCCCCGAAATGTCAACATTTAAGGAGTTATGGCCATTTTAAAGTATGCTATTTTTCCCCTTTAAAAAGTGATCACAAATTATAGCTAAAAACCCCGAAATGTCAATATTTAAGGAGTTATGGCCATTTTAAAGTATACTATTTTTCCCCTTTACCAAACGGATCACAAATTATAGCTAAAAACCCCGAAATGTCAATATTTAAGGAGTTATGGCCATTTTAAAGTATACTATTTTTCCCCTTTACCAAACGGATCACAAATTATAGCTAAAAACCCCGAAATGTCAATATTTAAGGAGTTATGGCCATTTTAAAGTATGCTATTCTTCCCCTTTAAAAAAGTGATCACAAATTATAGCTAAAAACCCCGAAATGTCAATATTTAAGGAGTTATGGCCATTTTAAAGTATGCTATTTTTCCCCTTTAAAAAAGTGATCACAAATTATAGCTAAAAACCCCGAAATGTCAATATTTAAGGAGTTATGGCCATTTTAAAGTATTCTATTTTCCCTTTTAAAAAAGTGATCACAAATTATAGCTAAAAACCCCGAAATGTCAATATTTAAGGAGTTATGGCCATTTTAAAGTATGCTATTTTCCCTTTTAAAAAGTGATCACAAATTATAGCTAAAAACCCTGAAATGTCAATATTTAAGGAGTTATGGCCATTTTAAAGTATGCTATTTTTCTCCTTTAAAAAAGTGATCACAAATTATAGCTAAAAGCCCCGAAATGTCAATATTTAAGGAGTTATGGGCATTTTAAAGTATGCTATTTTTCTCCTTTAAAAAAGTGATCACAAATTATAGCTAAAAGCCCCGAAATGTCAACATTTAAGGAGTTATGGCCATTTTAAAGTATGCTATTTTTCCCCTTTAAAAAGTGATCACAAATTATAGCTAAAAACCCCGAAATGTCAATATTTAAGGAGTTATGGCCATTTTAAAGTATACTATTTTTCCCCTTTACCAAACGGATCACAAATTATAGCTAAAAATCCCGAAATGTCAATATTTAAAGAGTTATGGCCATTTTAAAGTATGTTATTTTTCCCCTTTAAAAAAGTGATAACAAATTATAGCTAAAAACCCCGAAATGTCAATATTTAAGGAGTTATGACCATTTTAAAGTATGCTATCTTTCCCCTTTAAAAAAGTGATCACAAATTATAACTAAAAACTCCGAAATGTCAATATTCAAAGAGTTATGGCCATTTTAAAGTATGCTATTTTTCCCCTTTAAAAAAGTGATCACAAATTATAACTTAAAACCCTGAAATGTCAATATTCAAGGAGTTATGGCCATTTTAAAGTATGCTATTTTTCCCCTTTAAAAAAGTGATCACAAATTATAGCTAAAAACCCCGAAATGTCAATATTTAAGGAGTTATGGCCATTTTAAAGTATGCTATCTTTCCCCTTTAAAAAAGTGATAACAAATTATAGCTAAAAACCCGGAAATGTCAATATTCAAGGAGTTATGGCCATTTTAAAGTATGCTATTTTTCCCCTTTAAAAAAGTGATCACAAATTATAGCTAAAAACCCCGAAATGTCAATATTTAAGGAGTTATGGCCATTTTAAAGTATGCTATTTTTTGCCCCATTAAAAAAGTGATCACAAATTATAACTAAAAACCCCGAAATGTCAATATTTAAGGAGTTATGGCCATTTTAAAGTATGCTATTTTTTGCCCCATTAAAAAAGTGATCACAAATTATAACTAAAAACCCCGAAATGTCAATATTTAAGGAGTTATGGCCATTTTAAAGTATGCTATTTTTTGCCCCATTAAAAAAGAGATCACAAATTATAGCTAAAAACCCCGAAATGTCAATATTTAAGGAGTTATGGCCATTTTAAAGTATGCTGTCTTTCCCCTTTAAAAAAGTGATCACAAATTATAGCTAAAAACCCGGAAATGTCAATATTCAAGGAGTTATGGCCATTTTAAAGTATGCTATCTTTCCCCTTTCAAAATTGATCACAAATTATAGTTAAAAACCCGGAAATGTCAATATTCAAGGAGTTATGGCCCTTTTAAAGTATGCTATTTTTCCGCTTTACCAAACTGATCTCAAATTATAGCTAAAAACCCCGAAATGTCAATATTTATAGAGTTATGGCCATTTTAAAGTATGCTATTTTTCCCCTTTAAAAAAGTGATCACAAATTATAGCTAAAAACCCCGAAATGTCAATATTTAAGGAGTTATGGCCATTTTAAAGTATGCTATTTTCCCCTTTACAAAACTGATCACAAATTATGGCTAAAAACCTCGAAATGTCAATATTTAACGAGTTATGGCCAATGCCCAATTTTTTCTCTTTTAAAAACTGATCACAAATTATAGCTAAAATCACCGAAATGTCAATATTTCCTGGAAAGATAGTGAGGTTTCCTTTTTTTTGCCGTTAGCGAGGTAGATCTGATTTATAAAAATATGATGAATATGGCTCGTTTAGATGCTCCAACAGAGATTTGATTCATATGCAAATTCGCCATCATAAACAGCGACTAGTTGTTCAAAGCAAAATGACTTTTCCTATTGTTTTTTCTGATGTTTTCATTCGTATTTCAAAAATACAATGGGAAATAAATGCCTCCATGGGACAAACAAAATGCACATACGCAACACATGCGTTATAACTTCTGCTTCTTCTCAAAAGATTTATTGTTAACTTTGTTGCTTTTATTTATTTTTATTTTTTTTTTTTTTGGAAATACATTTTATGTTTTTGATTACAAACGAAATATTGTGTTGTTGCTGTTGTTGTTGTATTTTAATATAATCAGATGAACTTGATTCAAATAAATGTTGATTGCAGTCTCACCAGTAGTAATATCGCGCCAAACTAATACAAACGAAATATTGTGTTGTTGCTGTTGTTGTTGTATTTTAATATAATCAGATGAACTTGATTCAAATAAATGTTGATTGCAGTCTCACCAGTAGTAATATCGCGCCAAACTAATAATGCGTGAGAGAACAAAACTAAAGATAGTTAAAGAGAGAGAGAGAGAGAGAGAAAGTATAAGAAAAAATGTAACCGTTAAAAGAACCGCCGGAACAACGATGCAATATCTTTGTTTCTTCCTCCTCTTTCAGGTGTTTTCTTCCTTTATCCTTGGTCAGAGTGATTTAAAGAAATATTAAAATAAAATTTAAAGAAAATCGTAACAGAGACCCCGCGCTCAAATTCATTACTTCACAAAGTCAGGTTTGTTGCTGTCGGTTTTTGATCTTTGTGGAACCGTGAATAAAATAAAACAAAACAAAAAAGTATTTAGAGTTTAGTTTGAGTTTCCAAAACGAGATTGTTCCTGTTCCTCTGGGTAGAATGCAAATAAAAAAGTTGGTACTGAAAATGACCGAGATAGAAAAGTGTGTCATCGTCCTTTCTCCAACAGATTTTCATTGTTTTCTGTAGCCACAAAGTCGGCGTATTTTTGGAAAGGACTGTGGATCCATCCTCTGCGCTGCAACATGTTAAAGAGACAACTCTTCATTAGAGCTCTTTCAATTGAGCGTGTGTTGCCTTCGGCCACGAATTGGAATCGACAGTTCCCAGGCACCCGTGTAGGTGTGGCCCCAGGATCGTGTTTGGAAAGGAGTTTTTCTTTTTCTTAGATGGGCAGGGTCATTGAATGTACCTTCAATTTTCTTTTTGTGTTGTAAACAAAACATGTTACCACTATTATTCCTGTAGTTGTTGTAGTAGTAGTTTTCTCTTGTTATTTTCATCTTTAGCAAAAAAAAGCACACAAGCACACTAAAGGTCCCCTTTTATTGAAAGTCGGACGGGCCAACTCTCAACACTGTCAACAACAGTTCATCACAACAACTTATTGTTCTTTCCACCGAGATTCTTGGTATTGTAGCAATTAGATACGATCGCCAAGAGCAATTTCGCAATTCGCAATTGCCTTCTTCAATATGATTAACTTCGTGCGGTTTCCGCTAGCGTCGTCATATTTGCTGTTGCTCCTCCGATGGGAACGGCAACAGCTGTTTCGGTGTTTGACTCAATTCAAGTTGTTTTCTTCGTTGCAGTGTTGTTGTACTTTGCTCCTGCTGTTGCTGGTCGTTTGGGTTGTTTTTGTATTTGTTACTTGTTCTTTCTTCATCATCAACGTGTTGTGTTGTGGTGGAGAAATGTGTAACCTTGTTTCTGGCTGTACCTCTTGTGATGGTTGCTTGGTTGGTTGGTCGGTTGGTCTTTCCCTTCAAAAGTTATTCATTTTGAATGTTGTCGTTTTTGTTTAGAGTTGTTATTTTTGTTTGTGATTGTTTTGTTTTCTAGGTTTCATCATCATCGTCGTCGTCATCTGTTGCTTTTAATATTTCTTTCTGCTGTCGTTGCTTCTACTGCACGTTATACGTGGCCGTAGATCACCAACCTGTCTTGCTGTCTATCAATAGGGCTGTGAGAATTGGCTCTGTGAATTAAGTCCTAAGTTTAAGCGATCATTGTTAAGTGCGTCCTGTAAAAGGTCGAGAGAAAGAAACATCAATTTACCATCCCACAATAGTATTAAGCTTTACTTACAGTTCCGAAACCGACATCTTGCGATAAGATACCATCCATTTGTGATATCTGACCAAAATCTTGAGAAAGTTCTGGTTGTTGTGATAAGCCAGTGAAGACATTTTGACTCATTTGCTGCGACATGTTCTTCTGGGTCAAAATGGCCGCCGAGTTTTGTGAAGATTGAGTGGAAGCAGCAGCACTCGAGGTCAAGGCATTAGTTGTGGCACTACTGGTAGTATTCGTATTCCTTCCCTTGCCCGGAGCTTTGTTTGCCACATTTTTGTTCGAATTATTGCTGGGCATGTTCATGGCAGATGAGCCAATGGGACCGACACTGCCACCCGCCCGTCGCCCTTGTTTAGCTGCAGCCTGTATGGCTTGTTGGTGTTGATTATAGAAACGTGGTGGTATGTTACTCATGTTCATGAACATGCCAACAGGCACTGGCATGTTATTCATAGCTGCTTGAGCCCTCTCCGTGGATATGTACGAAATCGAATCATGTTGGAAGTTATGCCACTGTTGGTTATTGGGGCCATTATTGAGTCCGGAGTTAGTCAATTGGTTGATATTATGGCGCTGAGAGCCTGGTGCACCAAAACCACCTCCCATCGCTCCACTGCCTGCTCCGCCTCCTTGGGGATTCATAAAACTGCTCAAGTGTGAGGTATTTCCCAGGCCTCCCATATTTTGCATGTGCGAAGTATTGCCAAAACCAAAGGCTGAGTTGTTTCCACCAATCAGGTTGTTGCCAAAGTTGTAGCCATAGTTGTTGGATCCTGTGGTGCCAGTGTATCCAAATTGCCCAGAGCGGTCATAGAAGGAGCCGGGTATTATTGCTTCGCGAGCATCTGCCATCATGGTACTCATGAAATGTGCACCCATATTTAGGGTATTTACAAGTTTTTTCGGTTTTTGGAATTGTATCATGGACTCCCTCAAGTTGTTCAACGACCCCTCAACCAAGACTTTGCGGTCCTTGTAGAAATTCAAAAGGTGATTCCAGAGGGGCTGTTTAGAAAGTATCTTCGGATTGCCAACAATAATGGTGCCATATTTCGATCGGGTCAGAGCAACATTCAAACGCCTTGGATCACTGAGAAAACCAATGCCCTGCTTCTCGTTCGATCTGACACAGGACATTATTATGATATCCTTCTCTCTGCCCTGGAAGGCATCCACACTTGCGATTTCAATTTCTTGGTACAGTTTGGAGTGTAAACTTCCCTGATACTGCATGTACTGGACCAAGTAGGCTCTTTGGCCTTCGTATGGAGTAATAATGCCAATCTGTTCTGGTTTGACGCCGGCCTTCAGGAAGCGTGTAGTGATCTTCTCCACATTTGCTGCCTCGGTACGATTCAGATATGAGGTACCCGATCCTGCAATTTCCTCTTGACCCTGGGTAACAAGGAAGAACATTGGCCTGTCTGGCTGAGGCCAGGGGAAATCGATTTTGAGCTTCCGATCTTCTGCACACACTCCATTCTGCAGCGAACCTTCGTAGAAGAAGTTCGAGGGGAATTGCGACAACTCAGGGTGCATACGGTATTGAACTTCTAAGCGGAATGGTCTTATACCCAAGACCACCAAACGTTCGAACAAACTTTGCGAGAGACCAGCACGTGCGGCTTTCTTGCACATGACCACAGGACCCAATTGGCAATGATCACCAACCAAGATCAGCTGCTTGGCACCCAACACCACGGGTACCATGCATTCCGGCTCGGTGGACTGCATCGATTCATCGATAAGTATCGACGTGAATCTAATACGCTGCAGGCGGGCATCTCCAGCACCTACACATGTGCAACATATTACATCTGCGGCCTCGAGAAGTTGATTTTCAGCGGCTCGCTTCAAAGTTCTATAGCGTTTTTCATCGGCCGATGACAATTCGCCTGTCTCGTCTTTCAATTGCTGCAGCTTTTTCAACTCAATGTTGGTCTCCATATTTCGAATTTGATTGTGGAGAGCCAAGAAATTAACAGGACTATCGATGGCCTCGCGAGACTTGGCACAGACACGAACAACTTTCAGGTTGGTGCGATGAATTTTCTCGGTCAGTTGGTCGACAGCAGTATTACTGGGGGCACACACCAGCACTGTGCCGCCATGTTGTTTGACCAACTGATAGACTATTGTGGCAGACGTAACCGTCTTGCCTGTACCCGGTGGACCCTGTATAAGACTGAGAGGTCTCTGCAATGCATGCTTCACAGCATAGACTTGAGATCGATTAAGGTCGGGTAAGTTCGGTGCACTATACAATTTTGGTGGGGGGCCTCGGAATACCGCCTCGTCGGTTCCATCGTGACGCCCGTGGCCTAGTAGTCGCGAATATATATAATTGGATACGGAATTGCGATCGAGCGCAAATAGTTTAAGAGCGCGACGCATGCGATCAAACGAAGTACATTTCCAAATGAAGTCGACGGCAAAATTTGAAGTACATTGAATGGGTGCCTTAGCGGAAGACTTTAATTCCAAGCCAACATCTTCACCAAAGTTGTCGGGCACTTTAATGACATGACCGATGGATTCCCATGGTTTGTGAAGCTCACCCACGTAACGTAAACGCAATTCATCGCCGTGCATTAGCTTCATGTCCGAATCCGTTTTCGCCAACGTAAAGTAGGCTATGGTCTTTTTGTTTAGACCAACATCCCAGCGGACTTCAATGCCTTCCTGTGTTTGCGACTCCTTTAGTTTTTTATCGTACTCTGCCTCCAACATAACCAATGGGGCGAATATCTTCTCATATTGATAACCATCTTCGTAGCGTAGCAAAACCTGTGACGGTTCAGTGTCAATACCTGGCTTTTCCAAATCTTGAAAGGTTGCTTCAATGTTATCCTTCCAAAGCTCCTCCAATTTATTGATTTGAGCTGCAGATATTTGCCTCGCTCTCAGCTGCTCTTGTTCCGTCGGTACCTTTACCAACCATGGCAAAAAGGAACGATCCGATATCAATGGTTTCCACTGATCCTGATCCCAGTTCATGTCCTTTAAGGAGTTCTGGGCTGCACAGGGTTGGCGACATAGTAATACCACTACTGAATCCGCCTTGGCCGGTATAAAGCCCAAGACAAATACATTACGTACACCACAGGAATAACACTCCAAGACGGTTTCACCCAAAGGTCCCTCCGAATGCAGAGTGACCTCACGATGCTTCGCCCTGACCAAATGGTTAACGATGTGCGAGCCAGATGTACTGCCACGGCCATTGCAGAACCACTTTTTGCAATTGTTACACATTACAACGGTGCCGGGATCATGAATACCGCAATATTTGCATGCATGCTGCGGTAATACATCAACGGGACACAGGGCATTGTCTTCGTCTTCCTCTTCGAATTGTAGATCTGTAGAGCCGTTGGTGGTGCCCAATTTCGTTTGCAAATCTAATTTGCGGCCAAATGTCTGTTGGATATAAAGAAAAAGCATATTATGAGATTTGTAAAAAATATATGACAATTTACTTGACAATAAAAACAAAAAATATTGTATTCGATTTAGTTTCAAAAAAGTGATAAATTCATATTACGTTCTTTTTAATCTCAGCTGATTACAATTCATATCTCGATGTGCTCATATTCTAATTTAAACCTTTTGATGTGCATAGTGGCAAGAAATAAACACATCGATTGCAATTGGGAACGCCACTATTCAAACAGGTAGGAGGTATAAATTTAAATATGAAATTATTATAAATTCCTTACTGAGTAAGCTGTAAGCCCACCGCCAGCTTTCATTACATCTGACAATAACGTACCTCTCGAGACGTTTATCACAATTTTACGTTTAGTCCTCATGAAAAACCATTCTTACCTGGGATGAAATACCACCACTGCCAGCTCCAAGGCCGCATTCCAGCTGTGAAGCTTGAGTTTGAGACGCTAAAGTTAGATCTCGGTAATCAAAATCGGAGGCCTGCGTTCCACCGCCAATCAAATCGTTCTCTTCCGTATCTAAAAATGTAAGCGTTTGTGAACTCGGTCCGTAAGCGTCCACCGACATCTTGGCTTCTCTGATTATTGTGGCTATCCTGCAGTTGAGGGAACACAAAACAATACAAATAACATCAAATAAGGAAAATATAGAGAATTACAAAAGCGAATGATTCGCTTCTGTCCGTGCAAAGTAATGTGGATGAAATGATGATGTTGTTGTTTTTTGTATATTTTGTTATCGCGTCAACACGCTTTTTTGGAGGATTTTCTTTTTATTCCACGACGACGACGTCTACCTACGACAACGTTGTCTTTTTTCTATTTCCTTTTGGTGGAATCGTTTGTTTTCGTTTTACCTATTAAAATTGTTGCTCGATTATACGTATTTTCCTTGCAGTGTTTCTACGAGATGAAAGTATTTAGTAAAGCCTTAAATTAGTTGTGAAATTTGCGTTATTTTTGCATTATTCGATGTGGATTTTTAATGCGCGAATATAATTATCTTTTTCCTGATGAAATGTCACTTGGCTGTCACATTTGGGATTAATCGAATTTCGATGTATGTGAATGGTAATAATCGTTGGTATCGATTTTATCGATGTCTGCGACTATTGCATACAACGACGAAACGTTTTTCTTTTGCAAAATGGTGTCCTAAAAATGTAAACAATTTTATTTATTTAAATAAATAGGTTATAATGAAAGATTTTTGTTGTAAACTCTGTTAAAGAACGTCATGTATGTGAAAGTAACAACTGTTGAGCCATTGTGTCTGTTAATAGTTTCTATCGTGAATGGTATTTAAAAAAGTATTGCCAGATACAAATCCTGTCAATTACGATAAATAAGGTCATGTATACATTTCACCCTTCATAATCATCATTCAATAATTCCTCTGTTCCAGAAACTATAAGAATCTATTTGTTTCTTACGAAAAAATCAGCTGAAATGTTAAAACAAACATGCCATGTTCCGTTAATTTAAAAAATTCGGGTTTTCTTCGAATTGCACTGCATTTTTGTTTTGAAATTCGTTTTGCTTCTTTGTTGATAAATCTTCCTACTATGCTCAGTTCCAGACATGGTCGAAGAATATAGGTAGTCACATCGACACAGCTGATGGGACAATGAACTGTCAAACCAATTTTGGAATTTAAAATATTGAATGAGAAATTATTGAAATTTGTAAAAAATTTTGAAAATTCATATCATAACAACCCCCGATTTGTGTCTTATAAGAAAACTTATAAAAATCTACCTATTTTTGTCAAAACATTTTAAAAATTTTGAAATATCAATGTTCCCAAGCGTGTATTCTTCTACCATAGTTCCAGAATACTAAGAATATGCCAGTTTTACAATTTTCTCATTTATTAAAGAAATCGCTTATCGTAGTAACAGTTTTACAGTAAAAATTAGTCAGTAAAGTTTACTAAGGGAATCTTCTCTCTCACGAAAAAAGTTATCAAACAACATTCAGTAAAAACCCGCTGTTTTACTCTCACCATCGTACTCAGCACGCGCCACCCAAGAATGGTTACATTCTTCATTTTCAGCGCATAATGGCCACCAAAATCTCAGTATATCAATCCGTTGGACTATTGTGCTTGGAGTATTTTGGAAAACAAGGTTGGCACTAAAAAATACCAAAGTGTCGATCACCTCAAGCAAGCGCTTCGCCAGGAATGGGCCAAAATACCGCAGAGCAACATTCCGGCAGCGTATGACGGTTTCAATTGGCCGTTTGAAGGCCATAATTCATTCCAAAGACGACCAATTCAAACAAATCTAAACTTATTTTAAAATTTGATGCTATATCCTACATTTTTTGCTTTTATTCAATAAAAATTTAAAAAAAATGTACAAATTATGGCGTTTGACTTTGTTGCAGTTTTTTATGTCACCCTGTATGATGGATTTACTTTCTTCATTCTACCATGGATTACAGTGACAATCAAACGTTTGTAGTAGTTTTCATTTGAAGAATTTCTGAAATGTCACTGGATTACAATGAGAGTGACAAATATTCACGTCTGTTTCATGATTTCAATTTCAATATTTAGCAATTCTTAATCTCATATTACATGCTATTAACATGCCTGCATTTTACATACACAACTGCATATGTGTGTGTGTGTGTGTTTGCAAAGCTTTTTCTGTCACTAGTTTTGTGAGAAAATTGCATGAGACAAAAAACAGCTGGCTTGTGTTTCAACTAAACGGTGCAGAGGTCTCCACTTAGAATTTGTTAACTGCCGCTGCTAATGTTTACCAAACCAACTATTAGTGTACACACACACACACACACATATATATGCGAGTACATACGTACTATGTGGGGTCTCGGTCGACGTCGCCGCGTACGCCATTGTGTGCGCCTTAACCAATATTTTATTGTTGCTCTAACTTTGTTTTGTGGCCAACAACAAAACAATAACAACAGCCAGCAATTGTACGGGAGAGTCGTCGAGTGTCGCGAGTCGAATTGCATTGTCTCCGTCGGTGTTTATTTTGCTTTATTTTTTGTTGGGGAGCGAAAAATTCACGGATTTATTGGGCGATTGTTTTGAGTTTAGTTGTCGTCGGAGTTTCAAAGCGTTCGGGTGAAAGAAAACTAGGTGATGTGTTGCGCGTTTCATCAAGTCTTTTTGTTTTAACTTTTTTTCGGCATTTTATTTCAAAACATCCCACCACCACTCACTCAGTTGGCTTTAAGAAATTCAAAGTTAATGAACATGTTCAAAATGTAACAACAATAACAACGAGAGTACGTCATATCCGTAAAACAAAAAAAAAAAGAAGAAACAACAGCGACAATTAATTGAAAATAAAAGTGTTTCATGTTCGTGTGTGTGTGTGTTTTTTTGATATTGTTAAGTTTGAAGACGCTACCTACATCTCATGCCTCGTGAAAAATTGCTAAGAGAGTGCCATCAAGTGAAGCTCCCAAAAATGGCAACACAACAAGTGGCGTTACATGAATAGTGGGTGGCAATAGTGGCGAATGAACGCGGCAAGCAAATGAGCTTGGCTGCTCCCATCTACAACAATTTTTGTTGTTTGTTTTACTATCCGAAATTTCGCAATTTTAAAGCGCCAGTTTTTCAGCGTCTATTGGATTGTCGTTAAACAAAATTAAGGAGTGCGTGCATTTAACGGTCGTAAGCGGCGTGACGCAGTGCGTTTGCTGGGCTATTAACCTGTCGAAATTTTTATGTCAACATGTCAAACAGTCAAAAAAGAAAAACAAAAACAAATATTAATTTACAAATTTCATTAGAATTTATTGCCAATTTTTGTGTTTGTACTTAAAATTGTTAAATTATTGGGAACAACTCTAGTTTAGTAAAAACTCTTAGATTTTTTCGAAATTTTTTCCAGAGGTAGGTATTTTTACCCTTATCCCGGGAAACTATTTTTTTCTTGGGGGACGGACCCAGGACCCCAGATTTTTGACCCGAAAGTACGGGATCAAGACCCCACCTGGACCCGGATCCACTTACCCGATATAGACAATATGGGTATCGATGGAAAGCTTATGAAAATACCTATCCAACAAGTGGTCACATGAAGGGGTAAGTTGTCATGGTTCGGAAGTTATAGTCATAATTATCGATTTTTTGGACCCGGATTTTTTATGAAACCCCCAAAAAGTCAAAAAAGGGCCCATTATGGGTGTCAACAAAATCGTTTCCAAATTATAGCTGACACTCTTACCTTTCAAAAATGCTACAATTTGTGCTAATACCTTTTTCGGGTCCAGAGATATGGGTCTTTCCATCCGCATAACCCGATTCTAACCAGTTCATTAACCCATTAGTGGGCAGTGTCCCTTATAAGGGACTCTCACATTTTGCACTGTAGCACTTTCCAATACTCGCTTTTTTTGTAAACAAGTAGGCTATGCCGTTACTGACACTCCAACGAATTATGTTCTATCCCATTAATTTAATTTCTTGCGAGTTGTGTGTTGTATTTTGTGCAAAATATGGAAAACCAATTTGTGAAAAAACAAAAATCTCGAGCTGGGCAAATAAAATTTCAATAAAGTTATGATTCTGTGAATATTTATGATTGTGTTTGTATTGTTATTTGTAAGTTAGTGTAATATACTAGTTTATGCCCAAAAAATAAAATAAATTGTTGTGACACGTGCATAAAGTGACTATGAATGCAACGTCCCCTAAGAGGGACACTGCGCCCGTAGTACAATTGTAATCCACTGATTGAGTAATGAATCTTATATGTGCAGACTTACAGTTTCTGAAATACTGACTGAATTGGATGTTATTGGCGATAATGAGTTGCACGACATTGAAATTTACGCGATCCCACCAATAGATGGTGCAGATACTGATGAAGATACTGATGGTGGTGGCCCATATTTGCATATTTTCTTGATGGTCAGTAGTGAATGCATGGTTGTTAATGAAGAAGTTACATCCCAATGATGCGGCATGTTCAACTCTTCTAAATTGCAACATCATATCTGGAATCGTATGGTACCCCAGCATCAAGAGGTTTGCGCAATAGCAATGTCACTGCAGATACAAGATATGATGGCAGAAACCACATTATTGAATATTCAAAAACAGATAAACGCTGTGGATTATGCGGCAAAAAGTCTAACTTTACTTGTAAGAAGTGTGACAAAGGTCTCCACCCTAAAAATTGCTTTAAGGAATATCATAAGCCAAGTGTACCCAATGCGCAGCGTCCCTTATAAGGGACGGTCCATAACTCCAAAACCATAAGCTTTTTTGAATAAATTATTTTTAAAACAAATTAACTAGACCATTTTTATTTGTAATTGGTGTAAATCGCTTAAAGATAGTGCTCAGGGAACTTCGTCCACTAATGGGTTAAAATGATGTTTTTAATAAAAAAGTGTTTATTTCGCGTAGCAGTCGTCGGAATAACAAAAGTTTTCTAAATTTGGCTCTTTTTGTAAATAGCCGGCCTTCGGCCGGGTCTTGAGATTTTCACCTATGGGTATGTCCGACACCGGCTAACGCGAACAAAAGGTTCATAATTTCGGCACTTTTTTTAAATAGCCGGCCTTCGGCCGGGGCTTGAGATTTTCTCCTCTAGGTATGTCCTACACCGGCTAACGCGAACCAAAGTTTTCTAAATTGGATACCTTTTGTAAGTAGCCGGCCTTCGGCCGGGGTTTGAGATTTTCTCCTCTGGGTATGTCCTAAACCGGCTAACGCGAACCAAAGTTTTCTAAATTTGACACTTTTTGTATATAGCCGGCCTTCGGCCGGGGCTTGAGATTTTCTCCTCTGGGTATGTCCCACACCGGCTAACGCGAACCAAAGTTTTCTAAATTTGACACTTTTTGTAAATAGCCGGCCTTCGGCCGGGGCTTGAGATTTTCTCCTCTGGGTATGTCCCACACCGGCTAACGCGAACCAAAGTTTTCTAAATCGGATACTTTTTGTAAGTAGCCGGCCTTCGGCCGGGGCTTGAGATTTTCTCCTCTGGGTATGTCCTACACCGGCTAACGCGGACCAAAGATTTCTTAATTTCATT